ACATTCTAAAATAAATACATGGCTTAATTCGCGTGCGGCTGCAATTATAAACAAATTTATTTTCATTTGGGGTTTTTGAAGTTGCTATTTATTAGTAAAACAATTTGGCAAAATTGTAAATAGCCGATCAAAAATATATTCATTTATTAGGCCTGCCCGTTTATCGTTGTCCGTCCTTGCCATACGTGAGAACGGCGCGTAATAGCACCTGTCGCCTCGCGTTCTCTGTTAGGTCAGGCTCGAGATACACTTATTTTTTCACTTGTGTTGATACAACATTTTCCGTTACTTTCTATCTTCCTCGTACTTTATTACTTTTGCTATACAATGAATACAGGTGATGACGAAGCTTGGAGTAGTGGAGAGTCAGAGCCTGAAGAAGATGTTATTACAGACAGAACTATTGCATGTGATGTCGATTTACTTGATAACGAACGTGATGAGAATATAGCAGATGTATACTATGGTCCTTATTTTTACCCATCTATAAAAACTTTTACTGGTGAAGCACATATTCGTGATCACGTGTCTCTAGACGAACCTACTCCATTAGAATGTTTGAAATATTTTTTTGATACATTTCTTGTAAATTTGATTGTAGAACAAACCAATCTTTTTCAAGAACAAAATCCCGAACCGGATCGAATACATATGAAGCCGTGGACTCCTATCACTGAAGACGAATTATGGATAATCATTGCTTTATCAATAAACATGGGTCATGTTGTAAAAGGGCAACTAAAGGATTATTGGAGCCGAGATCCGCTGCTATACACTCCAATATACGGCGAAAGTCTATCTCGAAATAGATATCTTCAAATTTTACGATACCTTCACTTTTCTAATAATGAAGAAGTTTCCAATCATCCTTTGAAAAAAATCAAACCAGTGATAGATCATTTGAAAGAAAAGTTTAGTAATACTATTATTGCTGGTGAAAAGCTTTGCATTGACGAAAGTTTAGTCTTATGGAAAGGGAAGCTAAAATTCAAACAATTCTTACCATTGAAGAGACATCGATTTGGTATCAAGATATTTGAATTAGCGGACTGCGAAACAGGATTTCTCTTAGATTTTATAGTATATACTGGCTCAGACACTGATTATGAGAAATTTGATTTAGGCGTTTCTGGTGACATTGTTGCACATTTCATGCAACCTTATTGTAACGAAGGGCGTGTGTTATACACTGATAATTGGTATACATCTCCACAACTGTCAGACTACTTACATGACAGAAATACTGGTCTTTGTGGAACTGTAAAAAAAATCGCAAAGGAATGCCAACTCTTAGTTCAAAGCTAAATCGTGGTGAAACAGAAGTTGCCCACACCGATTCTTGGATGGTAATCAAATGGATGGATAAAAAGGAAGTTTATGTATTGACAAGTATTCACGAACACCAGTTTTGTAAAACTGGTAGGAAAAACTACAAAACCAATGAAGATATTATAAAACCCGTTTGTATCGTGGATTATAACAAAAATATGGGCAAAATCGATGATATCGACAGACAATTATCTTTGACAGAATCTATTAGAAAATGTATGAAATGGTATAGAAAATTGTTTTTTCATTTGATTGATTTGATATTGATAAATGCCCACAGTTTATTCAAGATGCTCACTAAAAATGCGATTTCGTTTCCTGATTTTCGATTGAGCGTCGTAAGAGATATTTTGAAAGTAAATTCGCAAGAAGTTTCATCATTTATTTCGTCTAATCTTAGACTAAATGGACGACATTTCCCCAGAAAAATTCAAGCTTCAGATGATAGTAAAACGGTATCACGTCAATGTGTTCTATGCAGTATACACAAAAAGAGAAGTCGATCATCATATGAGTGTAAAGTATGTTGTAAAACTTTATGCATTGAACTTTGCTTTGAAATTTATCACACCAAACGATCATTGTCGTAATTTATAAAATTAAAAAAAAAAACAATAAAAGAATTTAAAAAAAATCAGAAAATAAACAAAAAAACAAAAAAAAAATAAAAAAAATGAAAAAACAAAAAATAAAAAAAACAAAAACAGTCAAAAATAAAAAAAAAGAAACATAATTCTGCCACAGCCGGTCCCAAGCCCGTGTTCAAAAGAAGAGGGTGTTTCGAAATCATACGTGATGAAAGGGGTTTTTGTAATATTATAGGGGTTATGTCCAGGTGTATTGTATTTTTGACATTGGATTTTGACTCTACATCGAAAAATACATCGGAAACATATATCTGCACTTTCAAATAAAAAAAATTAAAATTGTGTGATAAAAGGGGTAGTTTTTGTAATTTTATAGGGGTTGTTTTCAGGTTTATTGTATTTTTGACATCAGATTTGGATTCTACGTCGAAAAATACATCGGAAACGCATATTTACACTTACAAATTGATGTGAAAGAAGTATTTTTTTCGAATTTGAAATTTTATATACGGGCT